ACGTTCTAATAGTTCTTCAATCTCGCTTTCAAAATGATACGAAACACCCAAACGCTCGAGTGTGTCGATCAAATTCATGGTCTCCACCTTGTCTTTTCCGGGAGCTGTCAGCATGGTTCTCACTTCATTCTTAAACCCTTCGATCTCGTTGGCATATTTTTCCGCAAACTGTAAGATTCCACAAGAGCAACTTATTATAATTAAGCCAAGCTAGTTTTCACTTCTTTAATGTACATAATGATAGTGTATGAAAGAAAAGGAATATTAGCAAGCTGTATTTTCCAAGTAAATTTACAAGAAATGGTATTCCTAGATTCCATCTAAGATTAGAACATAAATCACTTAGCCCTTGTTCACCGAAGCGGTAATGACTTGTCATTATATAAATTAAGTGGCAGAGTTAAGAAAATAAGAAACAGTTTAAGAATTTTCTAACATATATCACNCATTTTGATAAGAACGTGAATTTTCAAATAGTGATTTTTTTTTGGAAAATGTGTGGTTAAAAATGAATGAAATGTTTTCGATTTACGTGTAAAATTATTTTATAAGAAAATATGTAATTGAAAATGAATTTTGAAAAAATTGGAGCCAAACATAGGCTTCATAATATCGCGGGGGACAAAAAATAAGAAAAATAAGGGGATCAATACCTCGGTATTAAAAGAAAAGTTGATAAACTGTTCGCCCCATAAGCTAGGAGAGAAGTTTGCAACCGGGCGAACAATCTCCTTCAAAAAGTTGGTCGAATTTTGAACAAGAGCTGGGGCCATTCTGATTCACTACTGGAAAATAGAACAAGAACAAGAAGAAGAAAAAGAAAAAGAAATTATTCTGGTATCAGAACAAAAACAATTTATGCTGAAAGTATAGACTAATATAGCTCAAGTTTATGCTGCTGATTAGATACAGAAGAACTACCTTTATTTATAGTACAGCTGAATGGAGTCTGGCGGGCGTGGCAACATTTCTTATTCTTGCAGGTGGTCACTTTTGACGACTATGGCGTCTGAATTTTTTATTTCTTCCTTTTACCGGTTTAATAGGAAAGCACCTACCATCTGTCACCTAAATAATAATTCATTATGGTAGGCTGTAAATTATGTTAAATAATTAATTCATTAAATTTGTAAAATAATACATTATAAAAAATTCATGTATATCTAACATGTTAGATAAATTAATAATTTCCTTATCATAGTGCTAATGATTCGACTATGAGTCATTTCTAAAATTGAATTAATAATCATTTGTTTCTTCTTGAAATTGATGTAACATTCGATTTCACCACTAACTTTTCTTAACGTTCTAAAATGTTTTGTTGTGATTTTTTAATTCTGCATCAAAAAAAATTATATAATGTCGTTGCTTCAAAATCTTTTCGTGAAATGGGCTCCATAGTAGAATTATCATTTTTAACTTCACCATCTTGATAATTCCCCATGGCGCTCTCAATTATGTGCTCGTCAGTTAACATATTTGAATGAGGAATACCTTGATAAATTAATTAGTTATTTATTAATTGAAAAATTAATAATTAATTGATTATTTATTTATTTTATTTTAAATTAATCCTTGACCTCAAAACTATAGATTTATAGAAGTTTAATTGTACTAGTGAATAAATTTAGTTTTTTTATTCTTAGATATTATACTCACGTACCACATAATTGGGTGATTGCTTATTTAGCCGTTGAAATAGTGACTTCTAGATAGATATGTATACATTTTGAATGAATTGGACTATATCGTAGACAACTTAGCCCATGTTTGATATACATTAAAATTTTCATTCTAATTATTCTACTCATTTTCAACCACACATTTTTCAATAAAATAATATTTTCCATCACATCTACTATTCCATAACACATTCTTCTAAAATAATGTTGCTCAAACACACCCTTAATTTGACATCACGACCTTCAAATAAATTATATTTTATCGAATTGATGGAAGTAATTTGTTTGAACTGTGAGTGAATTATGAACCCCACTAAGACATTTCAAATCTTTGAAGCATCAATTTCAAGTATTTTGAAACTTCTACTTGAGCAGTTTTGATTACTACATGCTTGTACTTGATAATTTTTAAAAGAGTTTGAATGGAAAAATAGAAAGAAAAAATCCCAATAAGAGTGCAATTGTTGACTGACTGCCATATTAGACTAAATTAACATGACTGTGCTAATTTCTATGAAACTCATCATAAAAAAATAAATAAATGGAGAGAGAGAGAGAGCTGGTAAAAGTCTTACATATTTTTTCCTTGCAGTAAATTCACGGAAATGTATCTTAAAAATCATGAAAGAAAAGTCTTATAAGAATACATATTACTCATTTTATTTTTGTTGTTTGCATTTGCATTCTTTTTCTTTTNNNTTTGCATTTGCATTCTTTTTCTTTTAATAACCTTTCCTTTTCATATTTTTAACGTCATTTAATATTAATTTTACGTTTTCGTTACTGTGTCCCAATCATAAGATCAGCATTTGTCCAAATATTAATTGTGTTTATGGGCATTATATTGTTTGATTAGAGAATGTAGTAAACAATTTGCATCTCACTTTGAAAATGGTTGTTTGGAATATATGATATATCCTTGAGATAATTGTCAATCATATTTGTTGAATTTAATATCCAACGCATGAAAATTGGCTGTTAAATGTTTTATTTAAACTTTTACTCTGATCTTATATGATCGAGAAACCGTATGCAATTGACTAATGCCGTCAGTCTTCATTAACCACCTGAAACCGCCATGACCTTTGCTTTAATTTTGTTCATGGTGGCTCAATTATAGTAAAATGAAACCAAATGGCACTAGCCACAAGAAACTCACTGGTAAAACGTCACTACGTTGATAGGTCTAGAGGAAGTGAATGTTGGGTTTGGCTAAAGTGGTGGAACTTTAAATGAGTTCACGCATCGTTTTTTTCCGTGGAGGCATAATTTTTTATCCGACGAATGTGGTGCGAACCATGATCTCAATTTGGATCTATGTG